TGCCAAACTTGAAGGTGTGCCGTGTGTCCTGGTTTGGACCATGTGTTGAGCATGATAAGCGAGTGTGCATCCAGTAAGTTCACGACCTCATCCTCATCTGTGGCTCTGTCAGCAGAGCAAAGTCCGGTACCTGGGCCGATGTGTGGCGGACGTGGACGAACTTGCACATTGAGGTCACCCCCAATCACGAGATGTTCTCTACGAGGAATGCCGTTCAAGCACTGGCCAAGTTTATGCCAGTAGTCGAGTCTCTTGTTGAGGATCTGGGGATCCTTAGGGTTCCAGGCATGTTGATAGGCACTGAGCACGCTGACCACGTTGTTGAGCTTACCGACTGGAAACCTAACTCTAATGAGGCGTCCCGGCACAATGGTGTCATGTTTAACCTCGGCCTCGTGTGTGATGGCTTTGCTGATGAGCGCCATGACTCCCGCGTGTTTTTGCTGCGCCGTGCCTGAGCCAATGCATATCCATTTATCGGTGCAATATTCGGTGTCAGTACTCATTTTAGTTTCTTGGATGAGTACAATGTCGTAAGCTGCGGAATCAAGCTAATGCATTAACTCCCCGTACATGCCTGAGCCTAAGCCTCCAGCATTATAGCTGAATACCCTGAGGCAATGGCTGGGTGCGGCCGCCTGATTTGTCCTCCTTCTGATTGACGTTGGCCTGTCGCTCCCACTGATGTCATCACCTGAGTACATGACTCTGCCTTTATACATAGTGCTACCCCCCACTACTCTTAAATAGAGAAGGGCTGACTCCTGACTCTGAATGTGCTGTGTTCCGCATTGCTTCAGCGCATTATGGGCTGTTATGGGATCACGTGTGTCGCTTCCCCCGGTCCCTGCGGATAGGACCGGAACCCTCGCACCACACACAGAGTGTAACATTGTCATCCATAGGCAAACGTGCAGAGAAAGTGTGTCCCGGACTTGGGACCGGGTCGGCTCTTAGTGATTACGGGATAGTGTTTTTACGGGTTAAGGTTTCATGGCTACCTTTGAGAGTAACTAATTAAATGATGCTTTCTGAGGGGACTTGGTTACTGGCAATGCATCGGTGTCCTCGAGCACGCTGAGTTCCTCGCGCAGTATGGTCGAGGACAGGGCTCGCAGGAGTGGAGAAAGGGCATAAACTGATCTGAGAGCGTTGGCGGTGCACTTCCGCCATTGATTCACAGTCCGATAGGGGCATTGTACCTGCTCACGCATTTGGCAAGTGCGTACTGGTGCTTTCTTAGGCGGTGGCAGTGAATGGGCTGAACCTAGGGTGCACCTGTGCGGCAAGGCCTGTGCGCGTTGATGTCGAGAGCTCCATCGGCGGGTCCTGCAAGGTTTGCGAGTCACTGGGATAATCCCCCGCAGCGTGCAGACGGCAACACCATGCAACACTGCAAAGTGCCAGGCGCATGTGAGCATGTATTGCAGACGCATCTGAGGATGTGCGACGCTCTTATCGTGCTTGGGGCCCGACTGGCTCCCATAAAAAGAAGAAGAGGGCTGACTGCTCACTCTACGTGTGACACATTGCTGTCAGGGGCACGAATTAGCGCCTGTACAACCCTGCGAGGGGACGGTGGTCCGTCTACCGCTGGCACCTGTTCTCCTCCTGCCACGATCTCAACGCCTGCAATGGAGAGCGGTTGGATGTGTCCACAGAAGTAGACACCGTTGCGGGACTTCCAAAATTGAAGTCCGTTCTCTGCAGCGCTGCGCGCATGGATCCACAGTGCAACTTCGGAATCTGTGCGCATTCCCGATATGACTTCTCCTTGATTTGGCGTCCGATCGGTGAGGTGGACGTGCTTGCGGAAGTTCTTGCCTTTGGCACCCCCCGGAAGTAGTCCCGATCGGAAAATGCTCTCGTAGAAGTCATACGCGGCGCCGTGGACGAGGTATTTGGGAACCTCTGGCGGCGCGAGCGGCATCAGGACTTCTTCATCCTTGACAGCTGACATTGAGTGTCCTTGAACAGCTCTGGCTGCATAGTGGCCGCCGATGCGGCACACCTGGAACCTTTGTTTGCTGTTCCCGTGAATGACATCGATCAGCTCTCTTCAGTGGCCCACATGTAGTAGAACCGTTCAGATGACAAAATGTCATCCAAACGTACGTATCCGTCAGCACGGATTTTGATTCCCTCCGGGTCTGTGCCTCAAGAGGTCTGTCAGTGCACGGGAGATCTGCTCTGCCCTTGGTCCCTTAGTGCGTGGGGGCATGCTGCCCCGTTCTGCTATCCATAGGGCCGTCCCTTGTAACTCTGGCGTCTCCGGCTCCCCATCCTCAATGTCGATGACCTCTGTGGCCCTGGTGGCCTCTGCTGTGCTGTGGCCTGCAGGGTCCGGGTCGCACGGAGCCGCTCTTCTTGCACCTCCCTCAGTGGGATGGTCTTCGCCGTCCTCCACCTCAATCTCCAGATCAACATAGTCCACTTGATGTTCTTCTGGTGGGGCATCAGCCTCGGGCTCGTAGAACGTTGTGATCTCACGGAAGCGAGTCTCGATCATCAGGATCTGCGGAGTGGCGTTCCGATGCAGGAGTCCATGTGTAGGCTGCGTGCTCCTGAGGTTCCATGGAACACGTGGCTCGACCATGTGGGAGCTCACACAGCATTGGGTCTCCGGCTTCTCCAGCTCTGGCAGTCTTGATGTCCTTCGCCTTAATGGTGCGGATAAATTCCGCAGGTGTCATCTGCCAGTGGAGTGCCTCGTACGCCTCAGAACAGCAGGAATTGACGATGTCCGCAAGGGTGCCGACAAGGTTCTGATAGCTGGCGAACCAGGGTGGTTTGCCAGCTTTTGCAACACTCACGGTGAAGCACTCTATGAAATCACCCAGTTTGGTCCAGTTGGAGTAGGCGTTTCTGATGGGCCGCGAAAGCAGGCTCCCTGTCAAGGCTAAGACCCAATTTCCCCGCGTGGGAAATCACGTGTGGCAGGTTCTTCATGAAAAAGTGGATTGTGAAGTTTTCGGAAGTCGCCAGCACGTTTGAATGCCTCGAGCTGTGCAGGGAGCGCTGCGATGGTAAGTTGCTCCAGGAGAAGCACGGCGTGCTCCAGCCTCTGTTGCTGGTCGGAGAAGTGCGTAGCTGGCTCCGGCGCAGGGGTCCACTCGTCGTGGACACCCGGTGGTGGTTTCGGCGGCCTTGCCGTTCGTCCTCCACTTGCTTGATATTCCTTCCAAGCTTGGGCGTAGGGTGCCCTCCGCTCGAGTTCGCCGGAGGTGCGTCTCTTGGTGGTGCCTGAGAGGTCGACCTGAAGACTTGAGGGTCGGGTCGGGGTGCCCTATACCCCAAAGCCTAAACTCTAAACCCACACCGCCGCAGGATCCACTGCACAATGTAGTTTTCTCCCCCGGTTACAAAGATAGGATTCGGTTCACAAAGTCTGTTAGAAGAGGACACCCCCAAAGATACTGGCTAGAGCTTAATGTAGAATACTCCCTCCCAATCCTAAAAGAGTACTTGGACCACAAAGACCCTTCCCAGGAACATAGGAGAGATTTCCTAGGGCTAAAACACCAGCTAACACAAGACCCGCAATTCCTGTCGTATCTCGAGTCTGCGCCTACGCGCTCACCGCACCTGTTTAAAAGACACGCCCGCTTGCTGACATGCGCTTGGCAGCCGTAAAAACTCTAAACCCCGTAAACCCTAAACCTTAAAAAGCTGCAAGATCCATGCTCAGCTGGTCTTTCTCCTTGACCCCGTCGCTCCCAAAATACGAAAGCCCTCAAGCCTTGCCATGAGCCAAAATCCTGAAATCCTTAAACCCAAGCCCCAAACCCTCAAAACCCAAACCCAAACCCTTCTAGGCCCGGACACTTTAAATCCAGAGACTGCGCACGATCTCAGCCGCCCTGTGGTGTATGGATGGTTTCATTGTTTTGTGACGGCACGTCTGTTAAGGTAAAGTTTTAGCCTGCCTAAATTCTCCAGCTGCTTCTGGCTGGAACTTTTCCTTTCTCAAGTGAGCCCTTGGTTGACTTGGGTAGCCTCCGCGAGTTTCGGACTCTACATTGCGTGGCCCTCACAAATGGTGGGCTCATCCTGGATCCGGCATCTTGCAGAACCTGAGCCCAAGAAGGAGCAATAAAGAGAGACCCTGCTGACGGCGTTCACGCTGCCAACTGAGCAGCATCTCACTCGGCAGCTCACCCTTTTGATGAGCCTCAATCGAACTAGGATTGTTGAGCACCTTTGTTTTGACTTTTCAATCGAAAACGTGAGCAGATTTCCAGATGTCAAGTCAACCGGATGGAGTTAGAGGAAGAAAACGTGAAGAGTCAAGAGTCATAAATTGTACTTTGCTGACAAAACAGTTCCTTACGCTCGCTATACAAAAACTAAACGTTTGCAGCAACCAGCAAAACCACTTGCACATTTCCAGCTACTTCCAAAGCTGCAGCGACAGTGCGCAACAAGGCGGGTTCGATCGATGGACGTATGCGTGTGTTCAGGCACAAGTGTCAGTTTTGTCCCAAGAAAGGCCTCGTTTGCAGAGGCGGCTTGTCTCGAACCTTTGCCCCAGGCCCTTCCTCCAGCTTTTCGCAGCCCCGCGCTGCCCTCGACCCCTTCGCTCTGTGACAGTCATGAAACAGGAGAATTCTGGGGCTTGTTGGGGAGAGGCTGCACTTTTTGGCGCCGACCCCTAAAGAAATGGGCGGAATCTTGTCTCTTCGAGGTTTTCTCAGTCTCTCAAACTAGTGAGAAATGTCACACAGTGTAGTGTCTATCAGCAGGCCTTCTTTTGCTTGTGAAAGTGATTCAGTCGCAGCTGTTGGATGGGACAGTTGAATACATCTTCAAAGCCAAACAGCCAAGTCACTACTTTCCCAACTCAACATCATTCCTCGCATGATGTCAGCCCCTGATCTTGTATGACATGAGTTTCTTACCGCAGTGCTGGGTGTGCCATGGTTCAATCCTGTCCGTGGCGCAGCCCGAGACAGCCATGATCCAGTGCTGCAGCAGCGCATAGCCGGCATAGCCGTGCTTGAATGGCCATGCTGCGTGGAGTGGTCCTCTTTTGCTTGACTCGGTCCCTACTTTCCGCGTCGATTGCGGCTGGGGGCCATGTCACCTGCGCGCTCTCCGGTGGGCGGGTAAGGCCGGTTTCCAGGACGCACTGCTCTCTTGTTCTGCGTTTATTCCTGCCTTAACCCTAAAACCTAAGCCCTAAACCCTAAACCTTAAGCCCTGAACCCAACCCTATTTACTCCCCTGTTGCCAGGTGCTGGGGCCAGGGAAGCATGGGCCAGCTGGGACAAGGCTCAAGGGGTCTACGGCCTAAGGAGGGGCCCAGAAGGGACCCTTCATCTCATTCCCCTCTGTAACCCCTATAGATGCCTTATTTTTGTCCCTCTACATACCCTAAGTAGCCCCTAAAAAAAACCCTAAACCCTGAACTATAAACCCTAAACCTTGAACCTTAAAGCTTAAACCCTAAACCCTAAACCTAAACCCTAAACTCTAAACCCTAAACCCCAATCCCTTGAAAGGCCATGCCGGGGACCTGAAGGATGCGAGCCAGATCCCTGCCGTGAGCCTCGGCGAGGGCCGCAGCGCGCGGCAGGATGGGGACATTAGGGTTTAGGGTTTAGGGTTTAGGGTTTAGGGTTTAGAGGTTTGGGTTTGGGGTTGAGGGTTTCGGGTTTAGGGCTAGGGGTTTTACGGTATAGAAGGCTTGTGTGGGTGCTTCCCTTAAGCACAGGCCTCGCAAAGAGCTGTGCGCAGGTGGCGGTCGGGAAGGAGCACGTGTGCGCGCGGCTCAGCGATGACCGCGTTGCCTGCTGGGGTCATGGACCGAACGGACAGCTGGGACGGGGGCCTACCCCGAAACAGCTGGGCGTCCAGTCTCTGGGCCTGAAGTTAAATTTTTTTTTAACAACAAACACTTTCTTAACGTGTCCTCTTTGTGTCCGTGATGTTCCGTGTCAAAATGATCCTCAGCCCCCATTTGCCCTAAGAATTCATTAGCCATCATAAGCCTCCTGAGCTTTGGAGTCCGAGGTCTGAGGACATGGGTTTAGGGTTTAGGGTTTAGGGTTTAGGGTTTAGGGTTTAGGGTTTAGGGTTTAGGGTTATCCTAAGCTGTCCGAGGTCTGAGGACATGGGGGATAATTTGGTCCCAGTGGATCTGGGCCAGGGAGCCCTGGACGTGGTGGCCGGGGACGTTCAGAGCTGCGCCCGGCTGATGGATCGGTCCCTGAAATGCTGGGGCACCTGGGCCTTCATCAAAAAAATCCCAAAGTATCCCAACACAGAGCGTTTTGGGTCATTTTGTTTTTTTTGTTGTGTGTGTGAACCCCTGATTTAGAGTCCCAAAATCCACCCAACAGTTTCTTCCAAGCACTTTGAGCCTCAGAGCCTCACCGTCCCGAAGCCCAGTCGATCCCCAAGGCAAGGGCCTCACGGGCGCCTTGGGTCAGGGCAGCTCGAGCTTTGGAGAGAGCCTTATTCCGGTGGATCTGGGGCAGCCCGTGCTCCAGGTGCGCTTCTCTTTTGAGAGGTGAAGACAACCCACGTTAGCGCTGACAACCCCGTCCCAGGTGGCGGCAGGTACCTCGCACACTTGCGCGCTGTTGGAGGACCTTTAATTAGGGTTGCGGCCTTTTCTTTGGGGCATGTGTGGGTGTGTCCTCTTGCTCAGAAGCAGCGGAAGTCCAGAAGTCGTGTCCCGTGTTTCGCAGCCAACTTCTTTTGATGTTTTCTCGCGGCTTGAAGGGTCTCTCGCGGCTTGAAGGGTTCAGCCTGGTCCAGTGAATTTTGGAGGCGTTCCATGGTGTTCCCCCCCTGCCACAGGGCGGCACGCTCAAGTGCTGGGGCGATGGTGGCTCCGGGCAGTTGGGCCAAGGCAGCCGCGACGATGTCGACTCGCCGTCCCAGGCTGCGCTGTGGGATGGCCCCCTTCCTGTTTAGAAAAAGGGGGGCCCCTTTTTTTCTCGTGTGGTATCGGGCCCTTTGTACACAGCTTATAGTCGAGGCCTCTGAAGTCGGGGGCCCTTCTTGCTGCTTGTTGACCCTAAACCCTAAACCCTAAACCCTGCCTAAACCCTAAACCCTAAACCCTAAACCAGAAACCCTAAACCCTAAACCCAAAACCCAAAACCCAAAACCCAAAACCCTAAACCCTAAACCCTAAACCCTCAACCCTCAACCCCAAACCGCTGCTTGTGTCTTTTTCAGGTGGCCAGCCTCCCGGCCATCGACCTGGGCTCCGGCGCCCAGGTGCTGGAGGTCGCCGCCGGCCGGGGCTTCACCTGCGCGCGCCTCGCGGGGGGCACGGCGGCCCGAATGCATCGGGTTGAGGGTTGAGGGTTTTTGGGTTTAGGGTTTAGGGTTTAGGCGGTTTAGGGTTGAAGGTTTCAGAGGGGTTTCCGAGAACTCGCGGGCACCGAATGCTGTGCAGCCCGCAGTTGTCTGAGTTTGGCTCCAGCGTGGGCATTGAGCAAAGATCTACTCAGGCCCGTGAACTTACAATTTCATACGCCCTCATGAAAGCCTGGGCCCTGGGTTCCCGAAAACGACCCGAGCGCCTGCAGAGCGAAGGTCAAGTGCTGGGGACGTGGCAGCAGCGGCCAGCTCGGCCCCTCGGCGATGAGGGGGATGGGCGAAGAGATGAAGATCTGAAGATGCGAATTGTCCCTAAGCCCTAAACCCTAAACCCTAAACCCTAAACCCTAAACCCTAAACCCTAGTCCTGCATGTTTAGAGCCTAAGCCCTCCCTTTAGCCATCTCCAGCATAACTTTGGCAGGGTTGGGCTCCACTGCCTACATCGGCGACGATGCGGAGGATGCTGGGTGCGACCAACCTTCATGGGGTTGAGGATTAGGTTTAGGGTTGAGGGTTCAGGGTTTGGGGCTAGCGCCGGGCTCCCGAACCCAAAACCCCTAGCCCGAAACCCTGAGCCTTCAACCCCAGACTCGAAAACCCTAAACCTTGAGCCCTTCCTTCATATGAACCCCCAAGCCTTGAACCCCCAACCCGATGAGCCCAAACCCCCAAACCTTACCCTAGAAAACCCAAACCCTAAACCCTAAACCCAAGACCCTCAACCCGAAACCCTGAAACCCTTCAACCCTTGTCAAGCCCTTAAACCGCAAGAGTGGGAGGACATGGGTGATGCCCTGCCGGCTTTGGACCTGGGACGGTCGGCCTTGATGTTGGCAGCGGGCGAGGCCTTGCGGGGGCTTTGGGGGTTTTTCGGTTTATTTGTTGGTTTTCAGTAGGAATTTTAAAGGGGTTTTAGGGGTTTTAGGGGTTTGAGGGTTTTTGGTAAGTTGCTTTTAGGGGTTTTAGGGGTTTGAGGGTTTGAGGGTTTGAGGGTTTTAGGTAAGTTGTTTGGTGGGGTTCGGGGCTTTAGTGGTTTGGGGGCAAGTCAATTTCCGGATTGTGTGGTTTGGGCTTTGGGGTTCAATGTTTTCCAGCCTCCTCCTTTTGTCCATCCCTTTTCCCCCCACCCTCAACCCTTCTTAAATTTTAGGGTTCTAAGCCCCCGCCCCCTTCTGCGTCCTCCTCTTGTTTTCGAGGACCATGCCTGCGCCCAGCTGGACGACCACTCGGCAGGGAGCCTAACTTGGCTGGGTTGAGGGATTCGGCAGGATTTGAGGTGGTGAGGGTTGTGGAATTCTGAATCCCAGACTTTTTTGTGCTTGGCCGGGAACACCCCCCCCCAAACGCTAGGCTGCCATGGCAGCCAGTTATGGACTCCACAAGAACCATCACGCCCCCAGAGCCCCATCCACGCGAGCGCGCACACAAAGCCGCAAAGCACCCTGGAGGAGGCGACGTGGGAGGCGTTGAGAAGTCTTAAAGAGCCTCTCTACCTTGCAGGGCTTCAGGCACTTCAGCTTTGGCGTTAGGGTTCATATGAAAGCGGATTCTGAGGTCAAGTGCTGGGGGAAGAACGACTATGGCCAGCTGGGGCAGGGTCACATGCAGCCCATTGGCGACTCAGCTTCAGATCTCCGCAGCCCCGGGCTCTGGTCCTTGGGGCCCAAACGAAAGATCAATATAATTACGGGCGCCCGGTGAACAAGATGAAGAGAATGCTGTACTAGAGAGGACGCGTGTACAGGAAGTCAATCAGGATTGACATGTCAAATTTATTTGTACGGCCCATTACAGCCCTGTATTCACGGTTGAACCCCTGGCGAAGGCCCTGCACGCAGCGCACACTCACCGCAGTGAGGAAGCAGTAGAGTAGGTAACCCTTGAACATGTTTGGAGTAGTACAAGCCCGTTTTTCTATTCCCAAAAGTTAACCTTTAATTAGTTCCCAAAACCCTAAGCACTAAGCCCTAAACCCTAAACCTCTAGGATACCGGACAACCAATAGACCAATGCTCAACCTCTTTAGCCTTCCAAACCCTCCAAGACCTCATTCGCCTCTCAGGCGACGGGCCTGGGGAAATGGGGCAGCTTCTGGGCCGCGCTTAAAGAATTCCCCCAAAGCCGTAGTCCATCGTCCTTGGTGGGCCTGTTGGTGGGCTTTTCGTGGGCTTTTGGAGGGCTGGGCTGTTGGTGGAATGTTGCGGGGCAAGTCTCTGGAGCTTTGGAAGCAAATGGTGGGTCCGAAAGGAGACACGGGGCCGGTAGACTCGGACGTCTTGTCAAGGAACCTGCTGCCTGTCGACCTGGGTGCCAATCGCTCGGCACTGGCGGTGGCAGCGGGCGCTTTTCACAGCTGCGACCGGGCTGAATGGACACGTGGGGGCTGTGGTCCAAAGCAGTTCTATAAAATTCTGTGGATCCGCAGAAGGTTCCGTGGTGGAGGGCTTCAGTATGCTTCAGTGCACCACGGGGGCATTTGCAGGGGGAGCTGTGAAAGGTGCCATCCTCGATGATCACAGCGTGAAGTGCTGCCGAGACCGCACTGCTTCAAGGGCTGTTGGGGTTGAGCTCCGACCCGCAGAGCCCCCCCCCAAATGGTCCTTTTAATGAGCCTTATAGTGATCCTTCATGGCGGTGATGATCATCATGATCTGCGCTCTGCCTCTTCGGGTCCTCTCACTGTTCTTGCCCAGGTTGGGGCTGCAATTCTCATGGCCAGCTGGGCAACGGGGGCACGGCTTCCCTGGGGGACGATCCGCACGAGCCCCTTGGCCAAGGAATTGATTTGAGGGCTAAATGTGAAGAAGGCTTGATTTGTTAGGTTTTGGTTTCTTAATAGGGGTTGCAGGGGTCGTAAGGGTTCTGTGGGGTTATTTTTGGGGTGATGTGGGGGGGGTGCCGAACAGCCCTATACTCAAAACCCTAAGTCCTTCCTAAACCCTTGACCCTAAACCCCTTCGAGGATGGGTGAGCAGCTGCCCGTGAGCCTCTTCTTCAGCGAGGGCTCCGACTCTGCGACACCTGAGGCGGACCAGGGTGTGTTCGTAGCTCAGCGGTTCAGGGGCGGTTTAGGCCTTCGTCTTCCCACCCACGGCGATTCGTTCAGGGCTTCTTGGGGATGTTTGGCGAAGATGGGGCTCTCTGCCAGTGAATGCGATCCCCGAGCCGTTTGTGCGCGGCGTGATTTTTCACAACTCCCCCCGGTGACGCAGGCAATGCCGCGGACGATGCGTTTCCTGCAGCCTGCCGGTGGCCTGGGATGAACCCAGACACACTCAGCCTAGACGCAGCCCTTCAAGACCCCTCTCAGCAGCTCCCCACTTCACAAAGCCCAGCCGCACCAAAGCCCCAAGAGAAGCCCAGTGAACCTTGCGCTCTTGCTGCCCACCCCGTGCAACCCTGGAGGACCAGAAAGGGGGAATATAACGGAATATACCGAAATATTCGTCCAAAGAATCAAGATCATCCAGAAACCTGCGGTCGAGGCAGCTGCTGTGACAACAGCAGCAACGCGACGAAGAGCCCCTGCGAGCTTCTTCAGGCGTACCGTGGCTTGTAAAACAACCGTGTGATTTCAACTATCCCTGGGTTATCAAGTGCTTCGCAATAGGAGGGTGGGCTCCTTGGGTATCACAGTTCGCGGCCCTGTAGCCGGAGGGAAGAACCCAAAAATCCTGCGGATGGGGCCCGTCATTCCCTATTGCGGCGTCGTCTCCAATGTTCGGCATACCTGCAGGGGTCTTTGTGGGTCTTTCTTTGCGTGTGCGTGTCGTTTTCCTTTGGAGGTGAAGAGAGTCAGGAGTCCCACGTCCTCGCTGCTCGCTGAGGTATATGGAGTCCATCTTCACAACGACGACCACCACCTCCTTCAACCTCACGTTCTCGACGGTTGCTTGGGGTGGGTCTTGTTGTCAGGAATCGACAGCCAAGGGGTTTAGGGTTTAGGGTTCCTAAATGTTCCTAAACCCTAAACCCTAAACCCTAAACCCCAAACCCTAAACCCTAAACCCTAAACCCTAAAGCCTAAAGCCTAAAGCCTAAAGCCTAAAGCCTTAAACCCTCAACCCTAAACCCTCAACCCTCAACCCTCAACCCTAAACCCTAAACCCTAGACCCTAAACCCTAAGTCCTCTAGGTTTTCGGTTTTGGGGAAGCCCCTTCCTAAGCCGATTTGGGAGGATGTTTTGGCCGTTTGTTGGAGGGGCCGCGTTCGAGGCGCGAATGACGAGCGACGAGAAGCGGGTCGTCACGCCGCGTGGCTGCAATTTTGCTTGTTTGCTTGGAGGTTCATGGGGTACCTACAACCCCAAATATGAGCTTACTTCTAACCCACTTAGAGGACTTAGGGGGCTTCTAAGTGCAGTCATAGTTAGGGTTATAAGTGCCCATGAACCTCCAAGTGGTCAAGGAAAGTTGGCACCCGTGCCGCTGGACCGCTCGACCCTTTCCCCCCGCCGTTCCTCTTCCTTCCCCTCCACAGAAAGATGCGGGGCATCGTGCTGGACTATAAGGTCCTTGTCCGAGGACCCTTGTTAGGGTAGTCTGTGATCTCTGATGATCCCCGACAAGACTTTGAGAAGGGCCTGAAAACCCACTCAGAGGTTCGCCTCCATGGGTGTTGTGGCAACGCTGTTGTTCTTCCTCCTCTGCTTCATCTTCTCGAAGACCCTGAAGCGGCTGCTTGGCTGAGCCTTTTTGGGCTTCTCGAGCTTGCAGTGCCAGCAGGCTGTGGAAAACCTTCGGCGCACTTGTTGTCTGTGCTTGTTGCGCCACGTGAAGCTTGGGTAGGGCTAGGATACTCCTGGGCTGGTTGCCACGGGAAGCTTGAGTAGGGTGGTGGGAGTTGCCAAGACATCCAGAAGGCAGCAAGGGGGCCTCGAAGGCGAAGTTTGGGCTCAAAGGGCTTTGACGGCCTCAGCCATGCAAGAGCACGTCAACCCTCCCGCAAGCCACCCCAAACCGCAAGCCGAGTCCTTTCAGCTGACCCCCAGCTTGAACCCCCCCAGTTTCACCCACCAAGGCGGCGCGAAAGGCTCGAAAAGCTGGCTGATGAGGCGGCCCTCTCTTCCCTTTCTTCCTAGAGCCGAAGCCGCCTTCTGCCCTGGGCTGGAATAGCATGCTTAGTTTGTTGGTTCCCACTCGTTGGTTCCCATTCAGACTTGAAGCCACAGCCAAAGGCAGCGATAAGGGAGATGGTCAGCGACGACGACGACGAGGACAGCAAGGCTGTTGGCACCGGGCAGGAAGTAGTAAGCTGCAGTGAACACAGGGGAGGGGGGAAGAGGGGGGGGAGAGTTCGGGGGGGGGATTCGAGGCAGACCAGGTAGCTGCGTTCTTCACGTGCATGGGGTCGGATGCTCTGCTCTTTACACAGCTCTTTGCCGACTCAAAACAGGACTGCTCATACAGCTATGCCACATACAGTCCTCCAAGAGCGGTTTAATCAGAAAAGACAGCCTCCATGACCCCACGCCATCCTTTTGCTGAGGCTGACAGGCCCAAAAACGGGCAGTAGGAACCACCAAAAGCCAACGGGGTCCTCCAGCCACACTTCTATAAAGCGTGACGGAAGTGGACAGTGGTCTGGCTGACTCTCCAGGGGCAAAAACCGAACCTTACTTGGAGTCCTTACAACCACAACAATTCTAGGTCCACTTGTAGCCTACTTGGAGGATGTAGGGGGTCTTATAAGTAGAGTTCAAGTTGGGGTTCTGAGTACCTATGAGCCTTCAAGTGATCCCTCAAGAAGTGAGCTCGAGGCCTCCGCGCGGGCCCTTTCAGCGGCCATGGTGCCAGAGGCCGGGCAGGGTATGGGACGGGTGCTCCTTGGTCCTCGGATGTCGGGTTTAGGGTTTAGGGTTTGGGGCTTAGGGCTGGGGGCTTAGGGCTGAGGGTTTAGGGCTTAGGGTTCTGAGGCACTCCGCGCTGCCCAGGCATCTCCCGCGCCTCCCTTGCAGGAGACCCTTCGCCCAGAGCAGCTGAAGGAGGCGCCCCACTGGCGTGCGAACGTTGAAAAAAGGCCCTCGGCTTGTGGGAGCCCCCAAGTTCAAGGGCATCTGAAGGGCAGAGTTGCAGAGCTGATTTTGAGCTCCACAAGATCTCAGGGTGCCGATGCCTCGTGTGTTTGCTGTTTTGGCGTCGGCATTGGCTGCGCAGGCCCGACCGCCCGCGTTGGAGCCAAGCAAGCTTCCGGCCCCTTGCTCAGCTCTTGCTCAGGGCTTGAAGCTTCCGAGCTCTGATGCGAAGCCCTAAACTTTAGAAAGATCAAACCCTAAAGCCAACGTCGTCCTGAACCCTAGAGTAAACCCTCAAGCCAACGTCGCCCTGAAGCTGAAGCCCCAGGTCCCCGGTGGCAGCCCTGCGCCCAGTGAGGTGCACCCCTGCGTTCTTCACACCCCAGTTCCGGGAAGAAGCACTTGGAGGTTCATGGTGCTTACTAACCCAACTATAACTGCACTCATAACTGTACTTGGCACCATATTCGGGCACTTAAGGGGCTTATAAGTGGGTTATAAGTACCATGAACCTGCAAGCAGCTCCGTTCAGAAAAATTTAAGTGGCCAGGCCAGTGACGTCGTACCTCCCAGCACATGTGGAGTGGCCCAGAAGGGGCCGCAGTGAAGAGAGCTGGAAAGGAAGTCAACACAATCCACCCTAAACCCTGAACCCTAAAACTTGGACCCTAGACCTTGGGCCCGAAACCCTGAAACCCAAACCCTGAACCCGAACGCCCTCAACTCTAGCCTCCTGCCAGGCAAACTCCGCGCGATCTGGGCCTTTTCCGCCTCCGGCCGTGGACTCAGGTTCAGGGTCGCGTCGGGTTCGCGCGCGCGCGCAAAAAAGGTGACCAAGGTTGGCTCAGCAGGTCGAAGGCGCCTTCGACAGAATGCCGAAACCCTAAACCCTATAAACCCTATAAACCCTAAACCCCAAACCCCAAACCCTAAACCCTAAACCCTAAACCCTAAAACCCCAAACCCTCAGACCTGGAGGCCAAGGCCTCCGTGCCCTCCCCACGGCCGCCCCCCGCCCGGTCGCCGCGCCCCGGGCCGCCGAAGCCACCGGCGCCGCGGCAGACTTCAGGGTTTTTGGGGTTCAGGGTTTCGGGGCTTAGGGTTTGGGATTTAGGGTTTGGGGCTTGGGGTTTAGGGTTTGGGGTTTTGAGTTTGGGGCTTAGGGTTTGGGCCTGCCAGGCCAGGGTTTAGGGTTGCAAGGGCTGCAAGAGTTTAGGCTTCGGGGTCTGGGGGGTTTAGGGCTGCAAGGGTTTAGGGTCTAGAGTTTGGGGTTGCAAGGGTTGCTTGCATGGGTTTAGGGTTTCGGGTTTAGCATCTCAAGTCCCAAGAGTCCAAGCACTCTGTTTGAGGCACTTGAGGCACTTGAGGCACTGAAACTGAGATACTTGAGGCTTTCAAACTGAGCCGCTTGCAGACAACTACCCGCCCGCCCAATGCGCCCACTGGGTCCCACAACGATAGGAAACTATTTTACGTTACATAGTATCGCTCAAGCCAGCATGCTCGTACCTCCTGGCTCTTGCGGTCGGCTTTGGCGGTCAGGCCCTCTTTCTGTCAAGTTCGTTGCTGTCGCTAGCCATCAAAACTAGAATGCTTAGTGGTCCGCCGTGAAAAGCTCAGCGAGACAGCTATTTTTTGCCTATTGGTCCGTCGGCAAATCCGTAGGTTAGCCCTCGCTGGCGGACTGGGAAGTAAAATTCACGCCGGTCAACTTCTCTTAGGATGGTTTCTGGGTTGACAATAAGAAGTTCTCAGGCCAACAAGCAAAGTGACTGTGATGACTAGTTCTCCTTCACTGGCCATCACGCTCATCTTGTTTCCTGGTCCGCCGGCAACAGCTAAACGCTTGTTTGTCCGCTGGCAAATCTGCCGGCTAGCCGCTTCCTAGGTAGGATGAGGGAAAGGAAACCCTTCTGAACCCTCTTCTGGCTCTCTTCAACAGGGACCACCTTCAGAGGGTCTCTATTTTTCAAGGGAGGTCTAACCCTAAGCCCTAAAGTCCCAAACCCCAGCAAAGGATAGACTTCCCAACTCCACCCACGACACTTCGAGCTTGGCCAACTTTTTTTGGGCAAGGAGGCTTCCTCCGATGATATCTCTTGGCTTTTAGGGTTTAGAGCTAAGTTGTAGGGTCTAGGGCTGAATCGTAGGCTCTAGGGCTAAATCGGAGGGTTTGGGGGGATTACTCCCAATGCCCACGAAACTTTGATCAATGCCTGCGGAACTTTTTTGGCCCACGGAAACTTTGATGATCAGTTTCAGGGGTGCTTTGAGGAGCTTGAAAAGGCTCTTCGGACGGTTTGAGGGTTGGGACGTAGGGGTTCGAGTTGCCCACGCGGTTCATTACAGTATAAGGTCTCCGAAAGGGCTCCTTTTTGGAGCCGCAAGAGCCCATATAGAGGGATTCCGAAAATAGGGGACCCCTGAAAAAATATAGACCCCCCAAAGAGTAGGTAGGATTCCCTTAGATTCCCTTAGAACAAGGACCCCAACCAGGCACCCCTAATTTCGGAAACCCTCCATATTATGAGCCCATTGGGTCGCGTTTGTTGATGCCGAGGACCTAAAGCTGCCGAATTACATGTCGGAGGACGTGCGCACGGCTTCCTAAACCCTAAGGGTTTAGGGTTGTTTAGGGTTTAGGGTTTCAGGTTTTAGGGTTTAGAGTTTAGGGTTAGGGTTTATAGGGTTTAGGGTTAGGGTTTAGGGTCTAGGGTCTAGGGTTTAGGGTTTAGGGTTTAGGGCTGAGACCTGAAACCCGTGCTCCCTACGTCTGGTAGCTGCATGCTTTGGGGCCCACGACAGGAGTGCTGAGCAGAAGGAGCCCCACGTGACCAGGGACGGGCCATTGAGCATCCAAGTCCCGTCAAAGCCATGACAGGCTCCAAGGCTACCTCAGGAACTTGACCCTAACCCCTAAACCCTAAACCCTAAACCCTAAACCCTAAACCCTAAACCCTAAACCCTAAACCCTAAACCCTAAACCCTAGACCCTAAACCCTAAACCTTCAGCCCTAGATCCTAAGCCCGAAGCCCTAAACCCCAAACCGCAAAATCTCCGCGCTGCCAGCAAGGCGCACCATGCACTGCGCAGTGTCTAAAGGATTGCGCAGAACGCCCTGAGGGTTTCTTTTGTGGGGACTTGGATATTTCCTCTGAGGAGCCAGAGCTCCTTTTCTATCTTTAACATCCTCAAATGTCACCCAGGCATATCTAAGCCCTCAACCCGAAACCCTAAACCCGGAACCTCAACCCTAAGCCCTGTGTCCTGAAACCTAAACCCTAAACCCTAAACCCTAATCCCTAAACCCTAATCCCTAACCCCTAAACCTAAACCCTCAAGGGCGTCCGGGAGGAGGCACAGACCCCTCCTAAGCTCTCCATGCCTGTCGAAGACAGAGCTGAGCTTTGCTTTGGGAATTAGGTACCTAGAGCCAAGGCAACCTTAGTGGAAAAGAGTAGGGTTTAGGGTCAAGGGTTTGGGTTTAGTGTTTAGGGTTTAGGGTTTGGGGTTTCGGGTTTAGGGTTCAGGGTTCGGGAGCCCTTCACCTATTGGGTCATTGTCCTCCCTATACAATCCCAAAGCTCCCCTATGATACCTGACAAGAAAGTTTACACACATCTTGTGCAACAGTACACAAGTGTGATCCCTTAAGACCGGGATGTGAGGCACCGAATTCCCTACTTCCCCCTGACAGAACTCGGAGAAGTCGTTGCGCTCGCACTTGCAAAGAGGGCCGCGGGGGCTGTCTTGGGAAGTATGCAGCTTATGGTGCAGTGGGGTTTGGAGCTTCTTGTGGGGCAAGCCCAAAGAGGACGTCAGAACAGACGATCCCTTGTGGTTCTGAGGTATAGGGAAAGACAAGGGTGGCAAAGTCATGGCAACCTAAAACCCTAAACCCTAAACCCTAAACCCTAAACCCTAAAACCCTAAACCCTAAACCCTAAACCGAGTCATTGCGACGTTGCAAGTTGTGTCTCCGCATCCTTGGACTTCATTCGTCGTCTCCAAAGTAGGGACATGAATCTTCCCCCGCCCTGGAAGCGCTCCATGTGGCATTTCTGGCATTCTGACCCCAAAGCAGCGCCTGTGCGCGTCAGGGTTTAGGTTCCAGGGTTTTTCGGGTTTAGTTTCCTACAACGGTGAACACATCCGAAGACATAGGAGCCGGAAGATTAGAAGCCCCCCTTAAGTCCGCTAAGTAGGTCATAAGTAGATTTATAGTTGGGGTTACAAGCACCCATGAAGCTCCAAACCCTAACCCCTAAACCCCCAAACTCTAAACCCTAAACCCTAAACCCTAAACCCTAAACCCTAAACCCTAAACCCTAAACCCTAAACCCTAAACCCTAAACCCAAAACGGGCGGCGGGCCAAGCTCAATGGCCCCTCCGATGTCTGGATTCCGGTGGCTACGAAAATCGGGGACCCCTGAAATAGCCCCCACATAGTAGGAGGTTTAGGGTTTAGGGTTTAGGGTTTAGGGTTTAGGGTTTAGGGTTTAGGGTTTAGGGTTTAGCCCTTCAAACGAGGACCCCCAAGGTACCCCTGGTTTCCGGTTTGACTCGCGGGGCGGGGGGGGGGGGGGGGGCACTTGGTGGATGGCCCTTGCGGTGCTTGTTCTGGCTTCAAGCTCTTTTATGTTTTGGGGTTTAGGGATTAGGGTCTAGGATTCAGGGTCTAGGCTGTAGGGTTTAGGTTTAGGGTCTAGGATTTAGGGTTTTTTAGGTGCTCTTATGAGAGGTCGCAACTTGGGCATCTTGTGATAGTTCCGCACGGGTCATGTGCCTAACGGGTGGAGCACAGCTGGAAATGCACGTGTATCCAGGTGTTGTCGCACAACGATGATGGGAATTCAAATCGTTGATAGTCCACACGAGACCGTGCGAGGTCGCGCGCACTGCTGTGACTCGCTCTGACGCCATGGACAGCTGGCAGTTCCCCATGGGGGCTTGCGCAGCCCCGGCTTTGCTGCTCTGGTTCTGGCATCTTACGCAGGCACCGGAAAACACCACGCCGACAGAGCATTGCCCATGGCACATCATCTCCGCTGAGTCTCACATGTCACCCATGGTCACCCTAAAGACTCGGAGTTCGAGCATCCCAAAAACTCCGTCGCAGGCGGATGTGAAGACGTGGATCGGGTACCTGACCCGCACCACGGAAGCTTGGTGGAAGGGAGATGCAGAGCCGAGTCCTATGGCCATGCGAGTCGAAGAGGAGCTGTCCTAATGTTGTGGGTGTGAGAACATCTCTGGGGACCTACTTGGAGGTTCACTTTATAAGCCCTTCAAGTGCCATAATATTACAAGTACATTTATACTCGGTTCATAAGTACCATGAACCTCCAAGTAGGGCTTCGGATTTTAGCCTCCGAAGAGGCTCGAAGCGTTTGTTTCACGCCCTGGTGCCAGACAAAGGTTTTCGGGAAGGGGGTGGGCGGGGTGGCCCAGGGCGTGAGGGGAACCACAGAACGATCCAACAGAATATTACATGACATACACAAAACATGCTAGGTATGCATGAGACAATACTGTTGCACTGGCTTCAATAAGGACCCCCCCCCAAGCAAAATTGGACCCTCCAGAAAAACATGGCGCGTGACTCCCCCCCAAGCAAGTACAGAAGGGCCTGCCTTGGGGCCTTTGTTTGTACACACCATACTTTTATGTAAAGCTCTTTCGCTTGGGTGTGTTTGCGGGGTTTCGTAGGCACTTCTACATGGCATCCACAAATATGGGGGAGGGGCGAACCATCCTAAGACCTCAGAGCCCCAGGCCCTAGGGCCCTAGGGCTTCAAGCCTTTAGGACCTTAAGGCCTGAAGCTTTCCTGCCTTGCTAAGGACCCCCCCCCCCCTAACGGGTCTCTGTATTACAGAGGGTGACGCAACAAATGTGTTGAATCGGGCTAATGAAGTTCAGTAAGGCTTTCCGTGGAACTGGCCGGGCTTAGCTTCCTGGATTCTCCGGGCTCTGGCTCTTTAAGAGGCCCTCAGGGCCTCAAGCCTTACCGCCTAAGCCCATAATCAACCCTAAACACAAACCCTTAAAGAAACAACCATCCGGAATGAGTAACTTATGATATGAGCGGGTGACCCCAACAAACTGAGTTCGCAGAATAAGTTTTCGGCCGAGGCGTCGTGAAAGGCTCCGTGCAAATCCAAAGCGAGACAACTTACTGTTGGTTAGTAGGGAATGAGGGAATGAGGTAATTACCCTATATAAGTATATAATCCCTCAAGAGTATTTCTAGGGGAATACAGGGTACCTCATTCCCTCATTCCCTACTAGCCAACCGTAAGACACTGGGAGATGCGTGGTTGCTTTTTTTTTGTGAAGTTGTTTGGGGCGAGGCCCTTGGTTGTCGTGGGAACCGCTGAGGCCCTCCCAAACCCTTAAGAGCCCTAAACCCTCAAAAGCCCTAAACCCTCAAAAGCCCTAAACCCTCCTAAGCCCTAAACCCTAAACCCTAAACCTTATAAACCCTAAAACCCTAACCCCAAACCCTAAACCCTAAACCCTAAACCCTGAGTTTGTTAAATGGTTTCCAGGGCTCTGAAGATGCCTCTGAGAGGAGCTTTGCCGCGTGCGCCTGCGGATGTTCATGACCTTCTTTCGGCTGACCGTGCCCATGATGCTGGTCATGGCCTTGGTGTCCGCAGTGGAATTCCTGCGGGAGCCCAGCTTCTGCTGTGGGAGCTGGTGCTTTATCCTGTCCCTGGTGGCTGCGTTCGATCGTATTGTGGCTGACAGGCAGCTGCCCTGCACGCTTCAGTTTCTGCACAACATGCGGTTCTTCTTCGTCATCGCAAATCTGGCGGCCACCTTCAGTAACGGCTGGGCAAGCAAGGACGACTTCTTGGGCCGAATTGGCATCGTCATCGGAGCGCAGACTTTGCACGGAATCCTCTTCCCAGCAGACGGAATGACAGTTGTGAATTCGGTTCTTCACACGGTTCTCTACATCTGGGCCACTGCACAGGTTCATGGCCAAAGCTCACTGAACCTATGGTTGTTTACGTTCCACATGGCTTTCCAAATCCTGGTGTGCAATGTCTTTCCCTTCGTGCTGGAGTTTACCTTGCGGGACTGCGTCACAGCGTCCTTCCAGTCGAAGGACTCGGACTCACTAATTTCCGGGTTTCGCCAGATGCTGAAAGGCATCTGCGACGGGGAGTTGCTGGTGGATGGCAAGTTCCGCATCTGCGGCGGCGCGCCGTGCCTTCAGCGGCTGCTGGCAAGCCAAGAGGAGTTTGCCGGGCGCTGCCTGCGGGATCTCATCGACGGCGACGAGGCGCGAGAGAAGATCGATGGGTTCCTCGTGCCTGCCGTGCAAGGGGATGACGCGGAGGACCTTCGGCCGAACGAAGGTGCCCCGCGCTGCCTGCGCGTGCCGCTGAAGGCTCCTTCCGGCCAGGTTGTCCCAGTCGACGTCTTCCACGTGCCACTTCCCCGCAGCCTCTACGGGGAGAGCACCAACTACCACCTGCATCCTGGCTGTGCCCTTTAGGCCCTACACAAACAACCGCTCTGAACCCGAGGAATATGCCCCAAACCTTAAACCCTAAACCCTAAAAACCCAAACCCCTAAACCCTCAACCCTAAACCCTAAGCCATAAACCATCCTAAACCCTAAACCCTAAACCTCTCTTACTATATATATTTAAACCTTAAGGTCATCCGTCGACAAGGCGCAAGGCTTCGTCGACATGGCACAAGGCTTCGTTGACATGGCACAAGGCTTCGTCGACAAGGCACAAGGCTTCGTCGACAAGGCCAGTTTGCCTTGTCGACGAAACCTTGGGCCTTGTCGACGAAGCCTGGGGCCTTGCCGACGAAAACATTCAAGTTTCTACGGCACAAGGCTTCGTCGACACGGCGCAAGGCTTCGTTGACAAGGCACAAGGCTTAAGGCACCAGGCTTCGCCGACAAGGCACAAGGCTTCGTCGAGTCGACGTCGACAAGGCGCAAGGCCTCGTCGACAACCCCCCCCCTCTCTGGGGTTTAGGGTTTCAGGTCCCAAGGCCTATGGTTTAGGGTTTCAGGGCCTCAGGTTTAGGGTTTCAGGGCCTCAAGGCCTGACGTAGTTTAGGCAAGGCCTGGCTTCAAGGGCCAAAAGGCGCTTCAAAGCCCGGGTTTAGGGTTTCAGGGCCTCCAGGCCTGGGGTGTAGGGTTGGGTTTCAGGGTCTCAAGGCCTGGAGTTTACAGTTTCGGGGTCTCAAGGCCTGGGGTTGAGGGTTTCAGGGTCTCAAGGGGTGGGGTTTAGGGTTTCAGGGCCTCAAAGCCTGCAGTTTAGGGTTTCCGCCCCTCAAGGCCTGAAGTTTAGGGTTTCAGGGCCCACTCTTTCTCTTGTAATAAAAGTCTTATTTATGTGACGCTATGCGAAAGCTTAAGAACGAATTGCTCTATGATCGTAACCTTCGCTGAATAGAACTCTGTGTTATGAAGATACTTTGTTTTTTCTTAATGTTATGGGATTCTCTGGGTGGGTGGGTATTATACCAGAGCCGTAAATTCAACACTACCATGACACTGCTCGATCCGGAGCTGCTGAACCCTAAGCCCTAAACCCTAAACCCTAAACTACCGGGAGATGGGGACAACTCATGACTGAGAGCACGGTGTTTGTAAGTTGAAAAAACCCATCTAAATCAACTTTTCCGTCTGTTATCTGAATTTCGGGTGTGCTGCTTTCTAAACCTTTTATTACATTCAAGTCACCTAAACGATCATCGCTTCTTGCATACGTCTTATACAGTGTATTTAATAATGCTTCCATAATTTCACCGCCGTTCTGCAATTTCAGTCTACCCCAACGTTCAGCTAATAGCATCTGCTTCACCAACTATTACCAGTGCTATTACAAATTAAAAATATTCACGGCCGCACTTTTGAATGTAATTCCGTTGAGGTCGTTTAACTGTAGTGCTATGATTCCCGTTGTCGGGTCGGTTGTTCTATTCCGTGTGTATTGAAAGTTAATCCCCTCTCTTGATACTACATTCAGCGAAGTATTAACATCGCTTTTTGAAATATTCTTCCATCAGTGCTTAATAACTGTTGCCCAATCAAAGTTGCATCATTTTCCACCCTTGCTTCATGTAAATTACTTGTCCCTCCGACCGTTAAAATATGATGCGTTCATTGTCTCCCCACCGACTGTTGCGGCACTTGGGCTTCCTATTCTTAAACCTATTCGTAAACGATTATCACCTCCCGTTTCGTGTCATATCCTTTCTGTTCCAGTTGCTGGAAGTAGATGGGTTCAGACAGCAAAATTTTTGTTTCTAAGTTCAAAAACCCCTTGTGTGTCGCCAGTTCGTGAATTTCAATTCGCGTTTTCTTTGTGGGGGAAGCAGGCCCCACCTGGAAAGCAGGGGAATCAAGAGAATCCAGAAGGTGTGATCACGAGCCCGGAAAGGCTATGTTGACCGTTTTAAAGTCTATACCTTGGGGATGTTCCCCCTTGTACTAACAGCCCTTAAGCGGGATTCTAGTACCACCTATGATAACCCCTATACTACGCGGGAACATCCCAATCCATACCCTAAGCACCCTAAGCCCTAAGCCCTGAGCCCTGAGCCGTAAGCCCTAAGCCCTAAGCCCTAAGCCCTAAGCCCTAAGCCCTAAACCCTAAACCCTAAACCCTAAACCCTAAGCCCTAAGCCCTAAGCCCTAAGCCCTAAGCCCTAAGCCCTGAGCCCTAAACCCTAAACCCTAAACCCTAAACCCTAAACCCTAAGCATCCTGAAGCCTATGCCCTATTTCCTTTCCGAGGCTGGCGCTCACCGAGGACGTCGACGCCCGAACCCAGCCAAAGGTCCTTCCGGCAGTTCCAGCTTCTGTGGGCTTAGGGTTGAGGGTACTAGGGTTGAGGGTTGAGGGTTGAGGGTTTAGGGTTAGGGTTCAGCATCTCAAGTCCAAGCATTTCACTAGTAGAGCTCCTTACTCCGGTATCGAATATCGACCCACCCACCCATTGGATCCCATAACATTATGAAAACATTTTACTTTATGTTTTAATCTTAAAATTTTTGGTTCAGTCGGCTGCCGCCCAGGGTGGGCCCTAAACCCTAAAGGCAGCCCAGAGCAGGGCCTAAACCCTAAAGCCAGCCCAGAGTAGGCCTTAAACCCTCAATAAAACCAGCCCCCAGTAGGCCCTAAACCCTAAAGCCAGCCCAGAGTAGGCCCTAAACCCTAAAGCCAGCCCAGAAGCCAGCCCAGACTAGGCCCTAAACCCTAAAGCCAGCCCAGAGTAGGCCCTAAACCCTAAAGCCAGCCCAGAGTAGGCCCCCCGAGCAACCGGTAAATTTTGGTGGAAAGCCGGGAAATTTTGGTTGAAACCGGGAAAATTTTGTGGAAAACCGGGAAGTTTTGGTGGAAAAACCGGGAATTTTTGGTGGAAAAAAAGTTTTGGTGGAAAAGCCGGGAAGATTTGGTGGAAAACCGAGAAGTTTTTTGGAAACCGGCAATGTTTGGTGGAAAACCGGGAAGTTTTGGAGGAAAAGCCGGGATTTTTTGTGGAAAACCTGGATTTTTTTGTGGAAAACCGGAAAAGCCGGGATTTTTAGTGGAAAACCGGGATTTTTTGGTGGAAAACCGAGAATTTTTAGTGGAAAACCGTTTTTTTTTTTTGAAAACCGGTGATTTTTAGTGGAAAACCGGGAGTTTTTGGTGGAAAAACCGGGAAGTTTTAGTGGAAAAACCGGGAATTTTTAGTAGAAAACCGGTGATTTTTGGTGGAAAACCTGGAATTTTAGTGGAAAAACCGGGAAGTTTTGGTGGAAAAACCGGGAATTTTTAGTGGAAAGCCGGGAGTTTTTTTTTGGTGGAAAAACCGGGAATTTTTGGTGAGAAAGCCGGCAAGTTTTTGTGGAAAAACCGGGAATTTTTGGTGGAAAAACCGGGAATTTTTGGTGGAAAAACCGGGAAGTTTTAGTGGGAAAACCGGGAATTTTAGTGGAAAAACCGGGATTTTTTGTGGAAAAACCGGCAAGTTTTTGTGGAAAAACCGGGAATTTTTGGTGGAAAAACCGGGATTTTTTTGTGGAAAAACCGGCAAGTTTTAGTGGAAAAAAACCGGGAATTTTTGGTGGAAAACCTGGAATTTTAGTGGAAAACAGGGATTGTGCAAAACCGGGAATTTTTGGTGGAAAACCGGGAATTTTGGTGGAAGACAGGGAGTTTTTAGTGGAAAACCGGGAATTTTTGGTGGAAAACCGGGAATTTTTAGTGGAAAACCGGGAATGTTTTGTGGAAAACCGGGAATTTTTAGTGGAAAACCGGGAATTTTTGGTGGAAAACCTGAATTCGTGGAAAAACCGGGAATTTTTAGTGGAAAACCGGGAATGTTTAGTGGAAAACCGGGATTTTTTTGTGGAAAACCGGGAATTTTTGGTGGAAAACCGGGATTTTTTAGTAGAAAAACCGGGAAGCCATTAGCCATTAAATATACATAGGATAGAGAGTGTTTAGGGTTTAGGGTTTAGGGTTTGGGGTTTAGGGTTTAGGGTTTCGGGTTTAGGGTTTATAGGGTTTATAGGGTTTAGGGTTTAGGGTTTAGGGTTTAGGGTTTAGGGTTTAGGGTTTAGGGTTTAGGGTTTAGGGTTTAGGGTTTAGGGTTTAGGGTTTAGGGTTTAGGGTTCAGGGTGCAGGGTGCGGGGTGCAGGGTGCAGGGTTCAGGGTCTGGGGTTTCGGACGCGAAGGGGGCATTGTTAGCACCCGCACCTTGCCGGCGCTAGAACCATCGTCGCCTTCGAAGCCAGCACTCTTCAGAAATAGCCCTAAACCCTCAATCCTAAACCCCAAACCCTTAGCCTTAAGCCCTTACCCCCTTGAAAAGCAGCAGACACCACCCGAAGATGCTGTGAGTGGCAGTCGGCTTGGGTTGGTCTCTCAAGGGTACGGGTGCAGCATTTCTCTCGCAAAAATAGGCCCCACAGGCCCCCCCAGCAGCCCTCGCAGAGGCCGACGCGATGTCTCAGAGTGAACCTTGGCTGCTGTGGTCGTGCATCGTCATGGACGTTAGATGCATGTCGCCCTGCCTCGTGAAGTGGAACTGCATGAATGCGAAGGGGGGATGCCAACCTGTCGCCCATGCCTCCCATCCCCTCCCATCCCCTGAGCCGCCACACGCGAGGCATTGCCAAGCAGCCTGCTGGCGTCCCGACGCCCGCCGGCGGCCTCTGTAGCCAGCAGCGCCGCCACTCGGCGGCGTAGGGCTTGCCCAGCACGTAGCACGCCTGGCACAGGGCGGTGTCAGGGCGGTGTCAGTGCGGGGTCGCTCGAGGTGCTCGGGCGTCATCTTTCCGCTAAACCTCCAAGGACACGCAGCTGGAAGGCTGCGACGAGCTGATGGAGATGACGCTGCTGCTGAACGCCAGCACGGAGCTCATGGACATCGAGGAGGCCCACCTCCGATTCGCGCCCCGGCAGCAATGGCCAATGAGGGCCATCAAGGCCAAGGGCAGCCTGCTGGCATATCGAGGGGCTGGCCACCAGCGATGCATGTGCACGTGCTTTCCAGGTCACACAACAAGACTGCTAGCTCTGGCCGGCATCATGTGAGCGACTGGCTAGAATCCCGCACATGACTCGGCAAAGTGTGCTCATCGTCCCAGGTGCGCCACACCGAGGAGCCCAAGGCGGGTCCTTTTGTCCATGTGGCGATATCCCGCAGTGGCAGCCTTCGGGCGGTCGTGGGGGGCGCGCGCCTTGCACATGCGCATCATTGCGCCGCCCGCGCGCACCTGCGCTGCGGGGGTGCTCTCAGGTCCGGCTGGGCATGCCCACCCTGAAGCGCTTCGCGCGGCCGCTGGACTGGGCCGGCATCGACGCCACGCTGCGCCGCTACGCGCGCGAGGTGCGGAAGGCCTCGGCGAACGGCCAGGAGGCCCCCGAGCCCAGCTCACTGCTGCGGTGTTTCTGTGTGCGGCGCGTGCGCTGGGCGTGTTGCTGTCGCGCGCTTGCCCGTCCAGGTGGTGGAGAGGCAGGCGCTGCCGCATCCGTTGGTGCTGCGGCTGCCCGGGGAGACGAGGAAGTACCTCCTCTCAAGGCTGGGAGGCTTTGGCAGACTGGTGTAGACCGAGTAATGAGGGGCAGTGGCAGTGAGAGCGAGTGAGAGAGCCCCCGCTGCTGCAGGTGATGACGATGATGATGATGATGACGATGATGATGATGACGATGACGATGATGATGACGATGATTACGATGATGAGGATGATGAGAGAGCCTCAGATTGACAGGTCCTCGACCGTCAGCTCCCCTTTCAAGCGCAAGGAGTTGCACGAGCCCGTGTACCTCTACTTGCACATGACGGACAGTGGACAGTAGTAAGCCGTTCAGCGTCCGTTATAGCTCCCTCCCCCCTGCCCCAAGGGGTGGCCTTCTTCAATTTCGTGATGTTCCGCATGCAGCTCTGCGATGTCGTAGCGAGTCTGAGAGGACTTCCAGGGACCACCCCGGCCGACGCCCAGGGGTCTGGCGGGGCTCAACGAGGCCCGTCGCCTCGTCTCTGCGTCCGGGGGATGGTGTTCCGAAGACAGCAAGACCTGTGAAGGCCTTCGAGGAGCGCGCCGCAGATCTGCAGCCACCCCCTGGCGGCCTCTGCGAGACTCTTGGAGACCAAGTTACAGAAACATGTCCCATGCACGGAGGGTTTTTAGCACCGGCGTCCAGGTCATAGGCACATGTCAAGGCAGATGCGGTCGAGGCTTTCGATTAGTAAAGGGTTCGGTCGTGTAGACTGGTTGCTCAGGGATCCTGGAGGAAGGCAGCATCGACCTGCCGCCGATGGTGAGCCAGCAGTTTCACACCGACGTCGCGGTGAGAACAGGGGTGCACTCGTTATTCCGTGGTACCCGGTTTACTAGAAACTCTCCCGACATTGACAAGATCCGAAACAGGCCGACACATTCCGAAATGCTCGGGTTGGGTGGAGAGACCGGATCCAACGTGAAGAGTTGGAGCGAGTCATGTGGTCTCACATCGGGCATTGAGGCGCTGAGTCAGAGGTATCGCACTGGTAACCTCGCCGCCCCCGTTGTCTGGTGCAATGGAACATCTCAACCCCTGACCCCATATGGAGATCCCTGGGTCCTAAGAGATGCTCCTATATGCTACTCAGGGTCTTCAGATAATCCTGTGAAGATTTGTGAAGATCTGGAGCCTTTGGGCTGCACTTGGGCGCCAGATCTTGCCGGTCACGTTCTGGCTTTCAGGCTCGCGCATTCTTTGCAGTGCTGTCATGGGTCGTGAGTTGCGCATCTTGCGCGTTGAGCCTCGGGTCATGGTGGTCATGTGCACAATGTGACGAAGGTAGCCCGATATGTCTGCGCATCCAGGAAGTTGTTAGTGTTGAGAGTTGAAAGTTGAACGCACGAGGTTGCATTCTTGCCGTGACACGCTCTGACGTGCATTGGGCGCCATGGACAGCTCGCAGTTCCTCTTGGTGGCTTGCGCGGCGGCTTTGCTGCTCTGGCTCTGGCGTCTTACGCAGGCACCCCAAAACATCCCACAACACACAAGGCATTGCCCATGGCACACCACAAGCGGAGTAAGGAGCCGGAGCCCTGAGGTCTCCAAATATCCCGGTACACCCCCATTCTCGTCCCCCAAGCCCCCGCGCAGGCGGATGTGAAGAGGTGGATCGGGCACTTAACCCACACCACGGAAGCTTGGTTGAAGGGCGGTGCAGACCTGAGTCCTATGGCCATGCGAGTGGAAGAGGAGCTCTCTTTGTCTTTTTTTGGGGGTGTCTGTGGTGTATTGGTGTGTAGCATGTGCTCTAAACTGCAAAGCCCCTAAACCCTCTAAACCCTAGTAGAACCAGGGGCTGTAAGGACTCAGAGGCGCTCAGGATGTTGCATCGGGTTGTGTGTGATCAAAGACGAGAGGAGCTTTGGCGCATACGTGTGCACATGTTCATGACCTTCATTCGGCTCAGCATGCCCCCCATACTGATCATGATCGTGCTGGCATCAGTGGAGTTCCTGCGCGAGCCCAGCTTTTGCAGTGGGAGCTGGTCGTTTTTCCTGTCGCTGGTGGTTGTATTGTACGGTGTTGTTGTCGACAAGCAGCTACCTTACGCGCCCGTGCTTCTGCGCAACATGCGGGCTTTTTTCGGCATCGCGAACATGATTGTCACGATCAGCAACTGCGGGAGCAGCAAGGACGATTTTCCCGGCCGATTGGGCCTCGTTATCTCTGGACACTAGGTGGGACTTTACTACAACTGTATCACTTTGTAAGTTTAGGGTTCCTCTAATTTCATATTAAGGGAGCCAAAAGTTAAGCTTTTCTTGGGGGGTCAAACAGCAACCAAGGACAGGTGTTGCAGGGAATACTCTTTCCAGCACATGTAATGACAGTGGTAAATTCCATTCTGCACACGGTTCTCTACATCTGGACCGCAGCAAAGGTGTATGGCCAAAGCTCGCTGAACCCGTGGTTGCTTGTGTTTCACATCTTTTTCCAAACCATGGTGTGCAATGTCTTTCCCTTCGTGCTGGAGTTTACGTTGCGGAACTGCGTCACAGCGTCCTTCCAGTCAAAGGACTCGGCCTCACTAATCTCCGGGTTTCGCCAGATGCTGAAAGGCATCTGCGACGGGGAGTTGCTGGTGGATGGCAAGTTCCGCATCTGCGGCGGCGCGCCGTGCCTTCAGCGGCTGCTGGCAAGCCAAGAGGAGTTTGCCGGGCGCTGCCTGCGGGATCTCATCGACGGCGACGAGGAGCGAGAAAAGATCGATGGGTTCCTCGCGCCTGCCATGCAGGAGGATGACGCGGAGGACCTTCGGCCGAACGAAGGTGCCCCGCGCTGCCTGCGCGTGCCGCTGAAGGCTCCTTCCGGCCAGGTCGTCCCAGTCGACGTCTTCCACGTGCCGCTTCCCCGCAGCCTCTACGGGGAGAGCACCAACTACCACCTGCATCCTGGCTGTGCACAGGACACTCCCCACATCTCCCCAGATCTCCCCATCTACTCATCAGGTGTGGTCAGCTCTCTAAATGACTGTCCCTTGTTGGGTACCCTAAATCAGAAGGGGCCACGTTAGAATGAGGATCCCGGAAGGGGACCATGATTTAGCGAAGTGACCGGATGGACACGAATGCCTCTGGCGCCCTGGTTTGCTTTGCCAATGGAGAATGAAGAACGGAGATTGTTCTATCGCGCCCTCCTTGAGTCTTCAACGGGCTTGCTAAAGAGCCCATTGCAATACCCCTTAATTTAGGAATAGACCTTAATTTCTTTAAAGGGATCCTTGATATGATTCAAGGCAGGTTCCTGATGATTAAGGAGCATTGGGATCTTTGGGTGAAGGTTGGCTGACGTCGGCTGGCAAGACGTAAAGTGCCGTAACCTCACCCTTGAATCCAGTGAGCCCCAGTGCGAACATCTCACTCCCCTAAACCCTAAACCCTAAACCCTAAACCCTAAACCCTAAACCCTAAACCCTAAACCCTAAACCCTAAACCCTAAACCCCCCTTGCCCAGGCTGGCACTCACCGAGGACGTCCATGCCCGAGCCCAACCAGAGGTCCGGCAGTCGTCTTCCGCAGGGTTTGTGCGGCTCGGAAGTTGCGGTTCACGGAGGCTTCGGATGTTTGTGTGACTTGGGATGTAAAGGATTCGGGGGGGCTCAGCCACCCCAACATGTCCCACAATCTGCCCCAAGCGCCTGAAGCTTGCCAAGCTGCAAGACGGCTTGGGCTCGTGGTGGCATAGCACAGCACGGGCCCCGTGAGGCCCCCCCTCCCCCCTGCCTTCCCCCCCCCACAGCCCTCGCAGAGGCCAACGCGATGTCTCAGAGTGAACCTTGGCTGCTCAAGCCATCACGTTAAGTGGAGCTGAGTGAATGCGCAGGGGCCCAAACTGCCTCCCATCCCCTCCCGACCACCGAGCCGCCACACGCGAGGCATTGCCAAGCAGCCTGCTGGCGTCCCGACGCCCGCCGGCGGCCTCCGTAGCCAGCAGCGCCGCCACTCGGCGGCGTAGGGCTTGCCCAGCACGTAGCACGCCTGGCACAGGGCGGTGTCAGGGCGGTGTCAGTGCGGGGTCGCTCGAGGTGCTCGGGCGCCATCTTTCCGTTAAACCTCCAAGGACACGCAGCTGGAAGGCTGCGACGAGCTGATGGAGATGACGCTGCTGCTGAACGCCAGCACGGAGCTCATGGACATAGAGGAGGCCCACCTGCGATTCGCGCCCCGGCAGCAATGGCCAATGAGGTCTGCTGGCATATCGAGGGGCTGGCCACCAGATGTGCACGTGCTTTCCAGGTCATACAACAAGACTGCTAGATCTGGCCGGCATCATGCGAGTGACTGGCTGGAATCCCGCGCCTCATGTGCACGGCAAAGTGTGCTCATCGTCCCAGGTGCGCCACACCGAGGAGCCCAAGGCGGGTCCTTTTGGCTTTTGTTGCACTTGCACATGCGCATCATTGCGCCGCCCGCGCGCACCTGCGCTGCGGGGGTGCTCTCAGGTCCGGCTAGGCATGCCCACCCTGAAGCGCTTCGCGCGGCCGCTGGACTGGGCCGGCATCGACGCCACGCTGCGCCGCTACGCGCGCGAGGTGCGGAAGGCCTCGGCGAACGGCCAGGAGGCCCCCCAGCCCAGCTCGCTGCTGCGGTGTTTCTGTGTGCGGCGCGTGCGCTGGGTGTGTTGCTGTCGCGCGCTTGCCCGTCCAGGTGGTGGAGAGGCAGGCGCTGCCGCATCCGTTGGTGCTGCGGCTGCCCGGGGAGACGAGGAAGTACCTCCTCTCAAGGCTGGGAGGCTTTGGCAGACTGGTGTAGACCGAGTAATGAGGGGCAGTGGCAGTGAGAGCGAGTGAGAGAGCCCCCGCTGCTGCGGGTGATGATGATCATGATGATGATGACGATGATGATGATGATGATGACGATGATGATGATGATGATGATGACGATGATGACGATAATTACGATGATGAGGATGATGAGAGAGCCTCAGATTGACAGGTCCTCGACGGTCAGCTCCCCTTTCAAGCGCGAGGAGTTGCACGAGCCCGTGTACCTCTACTTGCACATGACGGACAGTGGACAGTAGTAAGCCGTTCAACGTCCGTTATAGCTCCCTCCCACCTGCCACAAGGGGTGGCCTTCTTCAATTTCGTGATGTTCCGCATGCAGCTCTGCGATGTCGTAGCGAGTCTGAGAGGACTTCCAGGGACCACCCCGGCCGACGCCCAGGGGTCTGGCGGGGCTCAACGAGGCCCGTCGCCTCGTCTCTGCGTCCGGGGGATGGTGTTCCGAAGACAGCAAGACCTGTGAAGGCCTTCGAGGAGCGCGCCGCAGATCTGCAGCCACCCCCTGGCGGCCTCTGCGAGACTCTTGGAGACCAAGTTACAGAAACATGTCCCATGCACGGAGGGTTTTTAGCACCGGCGTCCAGGTTATAGGCACATGTCAAGGCAGGTGCGGTCGAGGCTTTCGATTAGGAAAGGGTTTGGTCGTGTAGACTGCTCAGGGATCCTGGAGGAATGCAGCATCGACCTGCCGCCGATGGTGAGCCAGCAGTTTCACACCGACGTCGCGGTGAGAACAGGGGTGCTCTCTCTCTCTCTCTCTTTCTCTCTATCTTTTTTTGTTTCCATGGTAACGGGGTTACCAGAGACCCTCTCGTAAAGATAGTACTCTTGGGGCGGGTATGTTTCGCATTCTTGTTCACGAGCCTTCAATATTGCATCGTTGGCCCGTAGATGAAGTGATATAACAGTACTACAAAGGGCTTGTAATTTGGTACGAAATGTAAGTGCGCGAAGTAAACCCACGATTTTATGGTACATTAGCCCTTTTCCCCGTGCTCCTCTAATTTACTAGTTTAGCATGGGATAAAAAAACAAAATTTAAAGTGAGGAGAGATGAGTGAATGAGCCCTTTACAAGGGGCTTTGAGTGAACGAAACAAAAATCAAGGTCGACCGGGTACTCGCGAATCATTTTCTGAGTTCAACCGCCAGTCAAGGTTACGTCCAACATTCCCTAAGCCCTAAACCCTACACCCTAAACCCTAAAGCCTCAACCCTAAACTCACATCCTCCTTTTAATCGCACCGCCTGGCAAAGGAAAAGCGCCTGTTAATATGTTAACATCCTTAGCGCCCATGGTACCCTCGCTGCCCCCCTCGTTCGTCCGATTTAACGGAACATCATGGAGCATCTCAACCTCTGAGCCCCCTCTGGGGATCCCTGGGTCCTTCAAGGGTTTAGGGTTTAGGGTTAGGGTTTAGGGCTACCCAAGGTCTTAGCATGTCTTAGCGATTCAACTTAAGATAGCCCTGTAAAGATCTGTGAAGATCTGGAGCCTTCGGGCTGCACTCTTTGCGCCGGATCTTGAGGTCTGCTAGTTGAGGGTGTGCTCTTGTCTAGGACATGGCATTGTCGAGTCTTTGGCTTAATGCAGTTGCTGTGCATTGCAGGCAAGGGCACCAGGAAAATGGATTTCGTAGGGATTTGCCAAGCCAGGGACATGTCTCAGAGCTGGTGAGTCAAGGGCAACACAAGAAACCCTAAACCCTGAACCCTGAACCCTAAACCCTGAACCCTAAACCCTGACCCCTAAACCCTAAACCCTAAACCCTAAACCCTAAACCCTAAACCCTAAACCCTAAACCCTAAACCGTTGTTGCACAGGTCCGAATGAATGTGAAACGGCCGGGAGTCGACCACCAGCCCATTTCCAGTTAGAGGGAAGAGACAAGTCCGACGAATTCAAGACAACTCCCCACTAGCATCTTTTCAAGAGCCCGAAGCCCTAAACCCTAAACCCTAGACCCCAAACCCTAAACCCTAAACCTTAACTAAACCCTAAACCCTAAACCCTAAACCCTAAAGCCTAAACCCTAAACCCGAAACCCTAAACCCTAAACCCTAAACCCTAAACTTTAAACCCTAAGCATCCTTTCAAGAGCCCGCCCTTCGCAGATCCTAAGCTGCCCCCGACGTCTCTCTCTCTCTCTCTCTCTCTCTCTCTCTTCGGTTTAGGGTTTAGGGTTTCGGGTTTAGGGTTTAGGGTTTCGGGTTTAGGGTTTAGGGTTTAGGGTTTCACAGCCTCTCTGTGCCAAAGCACCAGCAAAAACCTGAAGCCTTAAGCCCTAAAGGGTTTAGGGTTTAGGGTTCGGGGTTTAGGGTTCAGGGTTTAGGGTGTAGGGTTTGAACTCTGCTATTTGTTTTTAAGCTGTTTTTTGCTTGGAGTCCTAGAGGCTTTTAAGAATTTCAAGTCGCCCCGGCCAATGGCGCTGGCTGGGTTGTTCGCATGTGTGCGCCGGAGCCTTGACCTCGTGCAATTGGGCGCTGACATGTTGCTCATGTAGAGATCTTGGGGCGATGCGGCAACCCCCTCCAAACTCAAACGCGGTTTTGGGTTTCGGGTTTAGGGTTTCGGGTTTCGGGTTTGGGGTTTCGGGTCTGCCAAGCTACAAGCACCGACGAAGCCTTTGGCCCAACTCATTGTCAACAAGCCTCCATGGCCTCTCATCTTTGAAGGTCGATTTTTTTGTTCGCTTGTTGAGCGAACATTGACGTTAATGCTGGATCATGGGACTAGCGTGCGGCTGTTGGCCGCACAGCGAATCCTCCAAAAGGAGCTTCCATGGTCGTCGCGCACCATTCGGGTCTTGACGTTTCTCGAAGTAATGACCGTCCTGTCCATTGGTGTCGCCAGCTTCGTGTCGACGCCTTGGCTAGCACTATGCTGTGGTACAATCATGTATGTCTTGGCGGCGCATCGGGCGGGCTCGCTGTCAGATCCGTTGCTGCAGCCAGCACATGTCGTCATGCCGAAGAGCCACTCGGCTTTCGGCCTTTCGAGGTTTCAGACAAACGCGCTCGCGTTCGTTTGGGTGTCCGTGGCCGCCCGTTGTTTTTGCGCGGCTTTTGCATGTTTCTTAGTTGTGGACTTCTTTCTGCTGACTGGAGACACATATCTTCCAGATCATGTATTTTGGACGCAGTGGCGGCCAGACTGCAACGTAATGGGTGACACACGCGACTGCGTGGCAGAGGTCCTGCCGCAAGCGCAAGACATGAGTGTTACATCATGTGTGACGGCGGAGCAGCGGATTGCGCAGTTCGACATGCTGCAGTGTGCACCTGCCCATGGCTGTCTAACCGTGCACAATGCTACGGCGCAGCTGTTGACGACGTGGGTCGGGGAGATGTGTCAGTGCCTCCCGTCTTTGCCAGAGTGGATTCCAGTTTCCAAGCCTTCCTGGGTGATCGCCGAGTACTGCTACTGTAGAGACCACCTGCCATGGTGGCAGGGCAACTTATGCGAGGTTGTCGTGACCATTGAGGCCATTTATGAAGATCGGTCAACTTGGCACCTGGCTGAGGCTGTCCTGTTCTTGACGGTTGGAGTCACCATGCTTTGGATGTTCCTTCTACTTAGCCGGGCCTGCTGCTGCGGCAGAACTGCAGGAGTCGCTCCAGGAAACAGCCAGCTGCAAGACAAGATCCTGTCGGAAGAGCAGCGGGTCCTCGAGACCGTTCGGACGGAAGGCGTACAGAAGATCACCACCTTCCTGTCCCGCAGCATGATGCGCCTGGGTCTTGTGTCGTACATTCTGGACGGGGGCTTGGATGCATACACGGCAGCAAGCTTAGCAGCCCGCGGCTATTACCTCCTGGCGACCACGCAGGGTGCCATTCTTGCATACAGCCTCCTCCTCCTCCTGCGGCGGCTTGGCATGTGTAGGCTTTACCAGGCAATATGCCGTTCTTTGGAAGTTGGCATTCTGACAGACGACGCCTTCAGGTGGAGTCAGCACGAGGAGCTCTGCGAGGGGACGCTGTGCTTGCTGTTTCAGACCTTTGCGCTGCCCTACCTGGCGACGAACCCGCAGGCATACGTCGAGATGTTTGTGAAGGTGACGATGAGTGCCAGGAAGGTCGCCCAAGGCTACTATGCCTACTTTCACCTCGATGTCGCTCCGCCTGAGCAGAGCGCCAACTTGGATCCTATTGCTGCAAAGCCCAGCCAGATTCCAGGTACAGACGATGACACCGTGTCTGTGTAATGTGAATGGGTTGAGGGTCTGGGGAGTACTTGGAGGCTCATGGGTACTTAGATCCCCATTCTAACCGACGTGCAGGATATAGGGGGGCTTAGAAGTACAGTTCTAGCTGGGTTATAAGTACCCGTGAACCTCAAGTGGGGGTTTACGCAAGTAAGGGACCCCTCATATCGAAGCCCAAAGAGTAGGATTCTTATAGTCAGGACCCCAAGAAGGTAAGGGGGCTTAGACAAACCCTACACCCTACACCCTAAACCCTAAGCCCCAAACCCTAAAGTCCGCGACTCAGGGTTTGCCCAAAGACTGGGCAACCCTGTCCCGCCCCGGTCAGCTGCGCTTGGGGCAGTTGAGCGCAAAGAGGGGGGGGGGGGGCAGGATTACCTTTTCCATTGGGATTATAGCCCCTACTGTAATGGACTGTCCCGAATCTGGGTTGAGGCCTTAAGGTTGGGAGGTTCAGCCCAGGAGCTGTTGGTCTAAGACACTAAGACTCCCAAAACAACCCCAAAGAAAGCCCCAAACCGCCCCCCCAAAACCATCCAACTCCGAACCCTACGATCCCGAGAGGCCTTGAGCTCCCAACCCTTAGGACCCCCAAACCGGTTTTAAGGGTTTTAAGGGTTTTAAGGGTTTTTAAGGGTTTTTAAGGGTTTTAAGCTTAAAAAGGGTAGGCCCTTGGGATATTTTTAGATCTTCCCTTATTGGGGTTGAAGAGGATCCTCTTCAGGAATGGTTTTTCAGAGGGTGTTAAGGGCCATCCTAGTTAAAAACCCCAGCCGAAACCCGAATGCCATCCGAAAACCTAGGGTTGTGTATCGGGTCTTGGGGTCAGGGACTCCAATCTTGTTGCCTGTTTTGTCTAGCGGGTGCTTAAGGGTTCTCAGGGCTTGAGGCGTTCTAGGGGTTTAGCCTGGGTTTAGGGTTGCGAGGTCTTTAGGCTTTGGGGGCGGGTGCTTTTTTTAGGGGGGGGGGGGGCGGGGGGCGGGGATACTGACACGGGACATGGAGCCTTTGCAGTGTGCTTTTGAGGGTCGCTAAACCCCTAACCCCCAAGCCCTAAACGCCCTACCCCCTAAACACCCTAAACCCTAAACCCTAAACCCTAACCCCCCCCCCCCCCCCAAAAATCCTCAATCCCCTTAACACCCTAAACCCTAAACCCTGAAATCTTAAACCCCTTAAACCCCCCTAAACCCCCTAAACCCCCTAAACCCCCTAAACCCTAAACCCTAAACCCCCCCTTCCAAATCCGAAACCTTCGAACCCGGAATCCAAAGGTCCTACCAGAGCGAAGAGCAGGCCCTGATCCAGGTCGCGCGGGCGCGAGTTGGTCCGGGGGTTTAGGGTTGTTTGGGGTTTAGGGTTTAGGGTTTAGGGTTTAGGGTTTCGGGTTTAGGGTTTAGGGATGCAAGTAGGGTTCAGAGTCAGAAGTTGGGATGTAGAGTTTCGGATTTAGAGTTTCTAAAGGCTTGTGAAAGTGCAGAAGGTTTAGGGGTGTGGAAGGGTGTGCATGGGGGTTTAGGGTTGTGGGGTTTGAGGTATGTTTTTGGGACACTCTGTATCAGGAGATCCTGTGTGCAAAATGGCCTAAACCCTAAACCCTAAACCCTAGCCTCAACCCTCAACCCTCAACCCTAAATCCTGAATCCCCTCCCCCCCCAGAGCGACCCGAGCGTAGAACAAGTCCCCGGCATCTTGGAGTGCATTTTACCAAAGAGACCTGGGCTTCATAGCATCGGATGTCGTGTCCTAATCCCCGAGCCCCCAAGCACGAGCGCCCAAGCCCTAAGCCCTAAGCCCTAAGCCCTAAGCCCTAAGCCCTAAGCCCTAAGCCCTAAGCCCTAAGCCCTAAGCCCTAAGCCCTAAGCCCTAAGCCCTAAGCCCTGAGCCCTAAGCCCCTAAGCCCTAAGCCCTGAGCGAAGCCCCAAAATGTGTAAAAGCGGTGGAGCTCCCCCAGAGCCTGATACCCCTTAATTACGGAATATTCCTGAATTTGTCAAAGGGATCCTTAAGATGATTTAAGGGCGCATTCCTGAACTAAGGGGTATTGGGCTCTTTGGGTTTCTGGGTCTCTGGGAACAAGGCACCGAGAGTTCTGTAAACCCTAGACCCTAAACCCTAAACCCTGAACCCTGAACCCTGAACCCTAAAACCCAAGTCGCCCCAAGCTCTCTCAGTCCCTGCGACTGCGGCTCCGGCGCCTTTCTGAGCAAGCCAGCAAGGCTGGGTTTAGGGTTTCAGGGTTCAGGGTTTCAGGGTTCAGGGTTTCAGGGTTTAGGGTTTCAGGGTTCAGGGTTTCAGGGTTTCAGGGTTGAGGGTTTAGGGGTTCAGGTTTGAGGGTTTAGGGCTTAGGTATCAACAACCAAAAAGTGCCCTCGAAGCCTCCAAGACCCCACAAATAAAGAGGTAAACGAGACTCTTTTCAAGCCCATCTGCAGTGTATGCATACATACATGGTTGACTCAGTACACTGTAGAAGTTAATCAGCAACCACCAGCATGGATGGACATATCGACATGCTTGTGTAAGATCGCGGATCTAAACCCTAAGCCCTAAGCCCTAAGCCCTAAGCCCTAAACCCTAAACCCTGAATTCTAAACTCTCAACCCTAAAGCGTAAACCCTAACCCGAAATCCTACACCCGTTGATGGAAGCCAAAGGTCGAATTTGGCATGTCGTGACATGTCATACCACCAAGCCGGAGCCCGCCTGAGGAGGACTAAAGTTGGGAGCCACAACCAGGTGCAGGTTTAGGGTCAGGGTTTAGGGTACACACACACAACACACACGCAAAGAGGTTGGACGTGACATGTGGTCCGACATCCCAACCGATGCCCCACCCCCCCCCCCCCCCCCCCCCCCAAATCCCTTGGGTGTGTCTGTGGCGCCATTACCACCTGGTATTTCTAGCCGCCCTGCGGCGAGGCGACCTAAACCCAAAAGTCCATGCGAACCTTCAACCCTAAAGACTAAACCCTAAACCCTAAACTCTAAACCCTAAAGACTAAACCCTAAACCCTAAACCCTAAACCCTAAACCTCTCTTTCTATATATACTTAAACCTTATACACCTTCGTGGCTAAGGGTCATTTCTTCGTGGCTAAGGGTCATTTCTTCGTGGCTAAGGGTCATTTCTTCGTGGCTAAGGGTCATTTCTTCGTGGCTAAGGGCAATTTCCTCGCTAAGGGCAATTTCTTGGTCGCTAAGGGCCATTTCCTGGGCGTTAAGGGTCATTTAAGGGTCATTTCTTCGTGGCTAAGGGTCATTTTTTCGTGGCTAAGGGTCATTTCCTTCGTGGCTAAGGGTCATTTCCTTCGTGGCTAAGGGTCATTTCTTCGTGGCTAAGGGTCATTTCCTTCGTTTCTTCGTGGCTAAGGGTCATTTCTTCGTGGCTAAGGGTCATTTCTTCGTGGCTAAGGGTCATTTCTTCGTGGCTAAGGGTCATTTCCTTCGTGGCTAAGGGTCATTTCTTCGTGGCTAAGGGTCATTTCTTCGTGGCTAAGGGTCATTTCCTTCGTGGTTCGGGGTCGTTTCTTCCCCCCCCCCCCCACCCGTAAGAAGGAAAAATATGTATAATGCGGTTTGGCCCTGGTTTGGCCCTGGGACTTTAATATTTTAATGTTCGGTGGATCTGGCCCTGGACTTTAATATTTTAATATTCAAGGCTTGACTTTAATATTAAAATATTAAAATATTAAAGTCCTGGGGTCTCTGGCCAGGCCTGAGGCAGAAAAGGACTTTAATATTAAAATATTAAAGTTTTTTAAATATTAAAGTCCCGGGCCGGACTTTAATATTTTAATATTCAAGGCTTGACTTTAATATTAAAATATTAAAATATTAAAGTCCTGGGGTCTCTGGCCAGGCCTGAGGCAGAAAAGGACTTTAATATTAAAATATTAAAGTTTTTTAAATATTAAAGTCCCGGGCCGGACTTTAATATTTTAATATTCAAGGCTTGACTTTAATATTAAAATATTAAAATATCAAAGTCCTGGGGTCTCTGGCCAGGCCTGAGGCAGAAAAGGACTTTAATATTAAAATATTAAAGTTTTTTAAATATTAAAGTCCCGGGCCGGACGTTAATATTTTAATATTCAAGGCTTGACTTTAATATTAAAATATTGAAATATTAAAGTCCTGGGGTCTCTGGCCAGGCATGAGGCAGAAAAGAACTTTAATATTAAAATATTAAAGTTTTTTAAATATTACAGTCCCGGGCCGGACTTTAATATTTTATATTCAAGGCTTGACTTTGATATTAAAATATTGAAATATTAAAGTCCTGGGGTCTCTGGCCGGGCCTGAGGCACGGGACTTTATTATTTAGAAAACTTTAATATTTTAATATTAAAGTCCTTTTCTGCCTCATGCCTGGCCAGAGACCCCAGGACTTTAATATTTTAATATTTTAATATTAAAGTCAAGCCTTGAATATTAAAATATTAAAGTCCGGCCCGGGACTTTAATATTTAAAAACTTTAATATTTTAATGTGAAAATCCTTCTCTGCCTCAGTCCTGGCCAGAGACCCCAGGACTTTAATATTTTAATATTTTAATATTAAAGTCAAGCCTTGAATATTAAAATATTAAAGTCCGGCCCGGGACTTTAATATTTAAAAAACTTTAATATTTTAATATTAAAGTTCTTTTCTGCCTCACGCCTGGCCAGAGACCCCAGGACTTTAATATTTCAATATTTTAATATTAAAGTCAAGCCTTGAATATTAAAATATTAAAGTCCGGCCCGGGACTTTAATATTTAAAAAACTTTAATATTTTAATATTAAAGTCCTTTTCTGCCTCAGGCCTGGCCAGAGACCCCAGGACTTTGATATTTTAATATTTTAATATTAAAGTCAAGCCTTGAATATTAAAATATTAAAGTCCGGCCGGGGACTTTAATATTTAAAAACTTTAATATTTTAATATGAAAATCCTTTTCTGCCTCAGGCCTGGCCAGAGACCCCAGGACTTTAATATTTTAGTATTAAAGTCAAGC